TGGTAACGTGAGTTAATTTTGAAAAAAATTGATGGTTTGAGGGGAATTTTGAGTTTGTATTAAAATAATGTTAAAGTTGGTGTGATATAAATGTATGAGAGAAGTGATTGGAAGTAATAGATTGTTAAAATTATGTGAGTAAGTGAATATTGAATTAAAGTTGATGTGATGTGTGACAATTTGAGAATGATTAATTAGTACTTGAATATATTGATAATACTGAGAGAAGTAAGTTGGATTAATTTTGAGTTGAATTTTGAGTTAAAAAATTATCTGATTAGTCATAATAACTAGATATTTTATATCCAACCAAGCTTTCATGGAAATTGATTACCTTTTCTTTTGAATCGCGATAACATATATATGTATGTGTGTGTGTAAGGATTCACTCCAATGAAAAAAGTGTTCAATGAAAGAAATATGAATACATTGTACACATTAAATATGATCGATAACATATATATGTATGTGTGTGTGTAAGGATTCACTCCAATGAAAAAAGTGTTCAATGAAAGAAATATGAATACATCGTACACACAATTTCGGGCTAAGGTTATTTTATTGAGAACTAGATAACCTATATGGACTAATATGCAATTTTAAGAAATTTAAATATAAGGTAATTTAATTAATGTTTCAATGTAATTTATATAAAAAAATATCTAATAAATGCACCAATATTATTCACAATATTGGTATGTAATTGCTCTATTGTGTAAGGATATGCACATTAAAAATACGAGTATTGCAGAATGCATAATATTGTTAAACTAAATGTACATTAATGACTTCGAGAATGTATATAAGCTTAACAATGTATTATGCGCAACGACCACACTAGAAAAATAAAAATACAATATTAAAAAAAAAGCTACTGTGTATTTTCACATGTATTAATGTGCATTAAGTGTGTCACAATAGTGCATTATGTAAAGCGGATAACATTGTGTACCGTAGGTCAAAACCGAAAAATGACCGAGATCGAATGAAATAAAATTTTTCTGTTCGAGTTGTTATATGTTAGTTCGGTTATTCGGTTTTCACTTTTTAAATTTTGATTATTTTGGTTTGCTTTCGATTTGATTTTTAAATAACTGAAATAACCAAACCGAACCAATCTGTATAAAAATTATTTTTATTTATATCTTTATATAAATATATATTAATTATTTTCAGAAAACTATACACATATTAAAATATTAAATATATAAAAAATAATATAAATATAACTTATTAGTTATATTGGAAATGCACATTAAAAACCCAGGTTTGAAAAAAGAAAAAAAAAAAAATACATTTAGTATTTGTCCACTTTTATCCATGGCAAACCAGTCAAAGGAAAGAAATGCCACAACTAAATAAATTTGTATTTCCCAATTTATGTTTTACCATTGTTTCACTGTACCTACTCCGACTCCCTAGGGCTTTTTCTGCCAAAAAAATCGTCAGCCATCATCTTCATCTGCGGCAACATTTCCTCCGCCGATCGCCAATCAACTCCATTTTTATCATCACTCCTGAGTCCTGACCGAGGTGAGAATGCAGTTGCTTTTTTGGATGTTTGCTTTTGTGCAAGTAAAAATGGAGTAGGATTCTGTTTAACGTCGATCCATTTTCTCACATTTTGTTCAACTGACACATCTAAGGTCTTGTCCTTGTATTTCGCCTGATTTTTTACAAGCTAGCCCGTGCTTGGTGGGCCGTTTCTGGTAGATTTTCTGATGGACCGTGAATCTCTTGTTTCAGTGTTTTTATGTCAAATTTAGGTCAGGGTTTGGGTACTGAGAGCTGTTTGTTCCATATTGCATACCTAGGTAAAATAGCTCATGCAGATTTTGTTATCTTACAGTGGATTAGCTGATAAATGACAATTTGGTGAAATTCATTCGTTATTTCTCGACTTCATTGGAGAAAAATATTTGTAAAATAGCTCATGCAGATTTTTGTTATAATCAAGTGTTTTATTTGTCATTTAGGGTGAATTCTATATACCAAACCTTTAACTTTTAAGCCTAATGTAAGGGTTCAGTGATTTCCTAGAATTACAAAACACATGAAATTTGTATCTCTTTTACTATTTTGACCGGCAGGATGATGGTATATCTTAGATGAACACAAAGCTCATGGGATTATTCCTTACACTTGAACTTTTATGGTGGCATTTGAAGTTATAAGTGATATCTATGGTTAAAAATTGTAACTAGTTTGTACCTTGCTTGTAGTTCCCCAATTATCCCCATTATTTTGCTGCTTGATGTTTTCTTGTTGCTTACGTGTTTAACACAATTGTTTCCAGATGGCTAGCAGCAGTTCAGAGGAATCAGACATCAGTGACTCGGAGATTAATGAATACAAAGAGAAACCATACGAGCTTCTGAAGGCTGGAACCTACAAGATTAGGGGCCCGAATGGCTCCTTCAGGTGCCCCTTCTGTGCCGGCAAGAAGAAACAAGACTACCAGTTCAATCATCTCCTCCAGCACGCCATAGGGTCTGGCAAGGGCACAGCTAGAAGTGCGAAAATGAGAGCTAACCATCTTGCCCTTGCAGCCTTCTTAGAAAATGACCAGGGCATTGAGGTCCAGCCTGCGCCTCAACGCGTGATGCCTCCGCCTTCTGCCGCCAAACCCGATCAGCACATCTGGCCATGGCATGGGATTGTGACCAATGTCCAACACGAGTCAAAGAATTTCTCTCGGGAAGAGGAAGTCAGTTATTGGATGAAGAAATTCTCGAGATACAGGCCTTCAGCGATCGAGATTTTTGGAGAAGTTGATCAAGTCGTTATGAGGTTTGATAGCGATTGGATTGGTTTCAAGAATGCTATGGAATTTGAAAAGTGGTTTCAAGCTCAAGGGCATAGCAGAAAGGAATGGGTTGAGCGGAAGGATTCTCCCGGGTCAAACCTTTATGGTTGGTTTGCCGGCGAGGATGACTACAAGGCGGAAGGGCCAGTTGGGGATTACTTCCGCAAGGAAGGGGAGCTGAAGACGATAGCGGATCTCGTCCAGGAGGCTACCAAAGACCGGAATAGTATCGTGAGTAACCTGGTCAAGGAAATAGATCTGAAAAACGAAAATCTGGGCCAGCTGCAAATGAAGTACAATGAGAGGACCCTTTCTTTGAGTAGAATGCTTGAAGAGAAGGATGACCTTCATCGCACTTTCTGTGAAGGTTAGTATTTCTCCTCCTGTTTCTGCCTCTTGTCTTCCTGTGACTTATGGTCATCCTATTGAATTAAAATTTAACTTTTTAGCTTTAACCTCAGTTTACAAGGTATAACTATAACTGATGTGGCATGTTGATATTGGTACATTTTTATTTATCAAAGCAACCTTAAAAGGTATCAATCCAAATATTTTGTTGATAAGAATTAAACCGTTGTAACTTGAATTTTCCATTTCAGAAACAAGAAAGCTGCAACGCATTGCACGGGAGCACATCAAGCGGGTTCTCGACGAACAAGAGATGCTGAACTTGGAGCTGGAGAACAAAAAGCGGCGGCTTGATTCTTGGAGCAAAGAATTGAACAAGCGTGAGGCTGTAACTGAACGCGAGAGACTCAAACTTGAAGAGGAGAAGCAAAAGGTAATCCACTGTTAACTCTAGATCAATGCGATTGCAGTTCTTTTGTCCTTGCTGATGCACAGGACTTCACTGTGTGTGTGTGTGTGTGTGTGTGTGCGTGCATGCACGTGCTTATACTTTCTTGATGTTCTTATGATGATTCTGCAATTTTGATGATCAGAACGACAAGAGGAACAGTGCTCTGCAAATGGCTACGGAGGAGCAAAAGAAAGCAGACGAGAACGTTCTTCGGCTGGTTGAAGATCAGAAGGTGTGACCCCCAGTTACACTATGGATGGTATTGGCTGTATTTGTTTCCGATTATTCTATCCTTAACATACTTGGTGATATTCAGAGGGAGAAGGAAGCGGCACTGAAGAAGGTTCTGGAGCTTGAGAGGAATCTGGATGAGAAGCAAAAGCTGGAGATGGAGATCGAAGAGCTCAATGGGAAACTGGAGGTCATGAAGCATATGGGCAGTGATGATGATGGAGCTGTAGAGAAGAAGATTGAAGAGCTGACTCAGCTCTTGAAGGACAAGAAGGAGGATCTCGATGGTCTGGGGGATTTGAACAATCAGCTCCTCACAAAAGAGCGCGCGAGCAATGAGGAACTTCAGGAGGCGCGGAAGGTGCTTATTGAGGTATTGTTATTTTGTGAAGTGTCGTCTCTTGTTCTCTGATTTCGTACTGTTGCAATTGTTTTGCAAGTGAGCTTACAAAGAATGAGAGTGGGTTCAAACTCTAAAATTGGTGATGTCTGCGGATATAATTGAGAAACTATTTGCGTATCCTGTCTGGTTAATTTGTGGGATAAACTTGTGCAAGTAACTAGCTTATTCGTTTGTTTGAACTTATTGCATTTGTTTCGCAACTGAGTACCAACCAGGCAAATTAGTTTGAACTTATTGCATTTGTTTGAACTAGCCTATTCGTTTGTTTGCTTGGTTATGTTATTTAAAGAAATCAGTTTCATTGAGTTAGTTGTCGAAGTAATATTTGTGACATTTACCTGTTTGTTTTCTCAGGGTTTGACAGATATGCTCAGCAGCAGCCGTGTCAACATTGGGATAAGGAGGATGGGTGAGATCGATGAGAAGGCCTTCAAAACGGTATGTAGCAAGAGATTCTCATCTGGAGAGGCTGAGATCAAGGCCGTTGAACTCTGCTCCTTATGGCAAGAGAAGATAAAAAATGCCGAGTGGCACCCGTTCCGTGTGGTCGAGGATGAGAAGGGGAATGCCAAGGTTCATCTAAACGCCTTTCCCTTGGTCTTTTGCTTCGTTACACATATATATCTTTTCTATATAAATATAATTTGCAAAACGCTACTCTTAAGATCTGACCAACATTACAGAAGAAAAAAAAGAAGCCATTGGGGATTTGTGAAGGAAATTGTAATTATTTGAAAGGTTGAAACTAGGCATCACCTATTTCATTTCATGTATTGTAGAGCGAGCTCGAGGATGACGAGGAGCTGCGTGGGCTCCGGGCAGAGTGGGGCCCAGAGATATACGAGGCTGTGACCACTGCCCTGATGGAGATGCAAGAGTACAACCCGAGCGGCTGTTATGTGGTCCCTGAGCTGTGGAACTTCAAGGAGAACCGCAAGGCCACGCTCAAGGAGGTCATCAACTACATCTACACTCAGATCAAAACCCTCAAGCGCAAGAGAACTTGAAAATGCTGTTGTTGTCTTTTTATTTGTAGAGACTTGTCTTTTTCGTAATTTAGGTACTTTAGTGTGAGATCTGACCTTTGCATGAGAAAAGAAGTATGCGTGCAGCACTTGTGGCGAATGTGTTCATCAACTTGGTTCTTGAATCCTGAGTATCGTGTATTTCCTATTGAGAATCTCCCTCCCCAAGCTACAAATCTATAGCTCGGCACATAAGATAGCCCGGACAACTTAGATATAGTTATAGCTTGGATATTAAGGAGCTCGACATATGATGAATCACACATAAGATAGCCCAGACATTAAGGAGCTCGACTTATGATAGCGTGTACATATGATAGTTCGAACATGATAGCATGGTAATTGACTTGAATGGAAGTGGATTGACCTAGACCTACTCCGTAGGTCGAATCCTGGTTGTTAACAAGAGACACGTGTAGGATCACCAATAAAAGAGATAGATAATCGGATCGATAAGAATAAAGCCAAATAACTGGCGAGCAGACCTACAATGTATATATAAAATTCTATCGTACTTATAAAGACTTTTAAAATTATAAAATACGGAATAGTTATTGTAGATCTATAATCCTATCTTATCTATGAAGGAAGGATCGACTATTTAAATTGTAAAACACTTGACCAACTTAAATTTAAATGTGTTTTAAGAGTCAATAATTTTGTATTTGTTATTAATTTTTCATTTATAGTATATTGAATTGATCATCGTTAGACGAGTTTTGATTTGATGTTTTATATTGCATTTATAAAATATATAAATAATTTTAATTATTTTATTATAAATACTAAATTACCTATTAATACTAAATAATAAATAATAATATTACAAACCATATAAGTGACCAGTGTCATTTAAATATAAATAATAATAAAAGAACTAAAAGTATTTAAAATTTAAATAAAATATTCACTTTTTTATTTATTTAAAAATAAGTATAATCATATTAATTATAAATAAAAATGATATTAGATTTATTATTTATCAATTGAAAATATCTAACTAGAAACAAAATTAGTATCGGTTATTATTTTTTAAGGATAGTGATTAAGTGCTTCAAGTGTTCTGCAGCATCCAACGGTGATTATTAGCTATTTAAAATCCTAAGGCCAAAAATATAAAGAAGTTGATTCGTCGCACTATTAATGTACGTCCCCTGCCATTGCTTTATCTGCCATACAAAAAGCACAACTCACACAAAACGCACGCATAGTCTACCACGGAGAGAAAAAAATAATCGACCGAAATGGCCGACGAGAGCAGCAAGTTCGCCGACGGCCGGGCCAATTGCATAAGCATGCAGGTGCACGCCGGAAGCGTGGAATACCGGCGGTACTACATGGCTCGACGCACGCTCCTCGAAATGCTTAGAGACAGAGGCTACATGGTGGCTAACATGGAGGCGGAGCTCCACCGATCTCTGCCGGACTTCCGAGCTGAGTATGGAGACAAGCCCGAGCCTAAAAAGCTCAGCCTGATCGCTGCCTCTGCAACTGACTCTTCCCGAAAGGTATGTGTCCGCCAGTGTGTGTGTGTAATGTGCCAGAGATGCTAATTGCTATGTATGTTTCGACTTTCCGTGTGGACTTATGGGGTCATTTATATCACAGAAGATTTTTCTGCGGTGGTAATTTTTCATTTGGGATTTGTGATTTTGTTGATGAGTATAACTCTCACGTATAGAAAGGAAAGATTTTTCTCTTTTGTTACTAGATGAGAAAATGAGATGTTACTTCTGGCGGTGGAAATTTCAGCAAACCTGCCTCTGCTTAGTAGAGTGTATATAGTATTATGAAGTGGATTGCTTTATATTTTGGTGGGGTCTTTCCTTTTTGTTACTCTGTTTTCGAGTCCAAGAAATTGACCAGGAGAAATCGAAGCAAACTGGAAAGAACCAACAAAAAAAATAAATAAATAAAGATTAAAGAAAAAACAAACAGGTTTTTGTTACTAACTGAAGGATCAGATCACATAAGTTTATAAAGTCTTGAAATGTATTAAGAAAAAGATTGATTAGGTCTCTGGTGGATTGTCTAGATAGATTATTAACAAGGAGCAAATTGTGGTTTACCTACCAAAACGTGTAATTTTGTAACATTTTTTGGAAAGTAATGTTTGTTGTGAATGAGGCCAATGGTTTATTGGAATATGTCAAAACAGTACTTCAACACCTCTTAGTTGTCTACACCCTTCATGGATGAGCAATTTGGGGGAAAGAAAAAACTGTAGGTATTATATTATGGTCAATTTCTGAAGACACCAAGTCATTGGAACATTGATAATCCTTCTGCAAGAAACTTTTATCAGTATCAATACAACAATCACTGGGCTAAAAAACCCAAAAAAACAACCCAAAAAAACAACTGTTTTACATAATGACTTGATATGTAAATCAACCTGGAAAACACTTTATTAAAAGCTTACTAATATTCTGGGACCGCTGCTAATATATCTAGGTATAACTTTCCTTTGTTTTTTGTTTCATTCTCGAGTCATGCTTTTGTCATGTCTATTTCTAGAAATTCAAATACTTATTTGTTGAAGTTTCTCTCTAGTACTATGCACACTCAAAGCATGTGATCAGGAAAATCTTCCTCTTTGACTAGTTTACTTCGATTTGCATCAGCATATACAATGGTTTTAAACTGACTGATTATTTTTTTGTATATTTTAATAATATAGATACATGCCATCTTTTGCGAACCTATCGAGATCAGGAAAGCAACAATGAATTTCATCCTGGGCCAGATTCTGAACAAAGAGCAACTGGACAAAGTGATCTTGATCCTGCAAAGCAAGATGAATTCTCATGCTCTAAAGGTTGTGGAAGAGCATTCGATAAAAAATGTTAAAGTTGAGACTTTCCAAGTAAGTAATCCGTGTTTGAGTTGAACAGTGCTTTCGTATGCTTTATGAATGAAGATTTCACGTTCTATCGATTTGTCTGATATTTATATTATTGTTATAATATCATGAGAATTTATAAAGCCTTCTGCATTTTTCAGGTCTATTTAATGTTGATGTGTAACACATGATTAATACTGCATTTTTCAGATTACTGAGTTGCTAGTCAACATCACCAAGCATATTCTGATGCCAAAAATTGAGATTCTGAATTCTGAGGAGAAGGAAAAGCTTTTGAAGAAGCATAATATTCAGGACAAGCAGGTAAAATTATTTCAAGCTTGTTTTTGGGATTTGAGTACTAAACAGAACACGCCAGCTTTTCATACATATTGAGATTATTATATAAGATTCGGCACAGGGCTGATAATGCTATAATTTGGGTCAAAGTTTTTGAGTTTGAAGTAAGGTAATCTTGCTTTGTGGATCAACAGTAAATTCAATTATGTTCCCAAACATGCTATAAGTTCACAATTAAATGAACTTCTTAAGCATAATATGATGTTCTTTTACAGTTTAGTTATTATGCTTCAACAACATATGCTCGAATTTCATCTACCTGTAACAGCAACAACTCTCTCGAACAAAAACTGATGATTAAAATTGTGTGATCCATAGTTAAAAGATGTGTTGCTTCTAACTTTTGTTTTCTTTATGAAGTTTGTGGTTACAAAAGTAGGAGCATGAAAATTTAAATCTCACTTATGCTTCTTTCTAAACAGTCTTTTTTTTAGTAAAATTCGACTTCTAATGAAATTTGTATCTGCTTTGCATGGGGAGTTTTTCATGAACCTGTTCTGTCTGCTCTTCTGGCAGCTTCCTATGATGCTTGAAAATGATGCAATGGCGAGGTACTATGGATGTGAGAAAGGACAAGTGGTGAAGGTGACTTATTCAGGTAGCATCACGGGTACTATCGTCAATTACCGATGTGTCGCATGATTTTGTGGCTAGAACCGGAAAAGCTTTTTGTTATGAAGAAAATTTTCATTGTGTAATGCAAAATTGTTTTACTCATGGAACACTGACCATGTTTGCATGCCTGAATATTGATCAGCTAAGGATGGATGGATTGTGTAGGAAGAAAACAACTTTTTTTCCCTTTTTTTTTTTTATTTTTCTAGTTTGTTTGATGTATTAATTTGCAGAATGCTTCCTTGAATGGTTTTATGATCTCATTGCTTGATGCTCAGAGCTAAGTGAAGATTGGTATGACAAATTACATAAATAATACAAGATTGGTATGGAAAATGTTGATTATAAGTACAAATCCAATAAAAAGTCGAGCGTCGCAGGCGCAACTTCCTAGTATATTTTTAAAATTAGAGAGAATTGCAAATAAGGTCCCTCAGGATTTATAATTTGGCCCCAAAGTATGCAAAATTGGTACTTAAATCACAATCCACACATCAACAAGGAGACATGCTCCACCGGTTTGTTAGCACAGTTAGAAGTGGAAATTTATAGAGCAAATCTCAAGAATCAAGATTCCCCATATCTTATCAACAATGTAAATGAATCAGTAAAAGGCAAGCACATTGATCATGAGAAACAAAAATGAGAAAGACAGAAATGCTATGGAGCCATCAGATGGTTCCATTATGGAGCCATCCATAACTTTATGTATTGACACGTGTCCAATGTGCATTTATTGCAGAACACGTGTCAATACACCATTTGTTGATAACTATATGTGATTTGTGGTGCACAATTTTCTATAGTATCAATGGCATAGAACTCCACCTGTAGGCAAAGGATGAAGGCTCAAGATTTTCATCTAGTTGAGGAGTTACTAGAAGGCAGATCCTCCAACTCTAGCTTGTCTGAGGAAGTGGAATCAGCTTATGATCAATGTGCTTGCCTTTCGCATGCATATTCTTTTGCATTTTTGTATGCATATTCTTTTCCTCCAACTCTACAGCTTCTTCTCAAGACTTCCAGAGCATGCATATTCTTTCTCATCGGTTTTGCTATAGAGCCATCGGATGGCTCGGCTTATGGAGCCATCCATAGTTATCAACAAATGGTGTATTGACACGTGTTCTGCAATAAATGCACATTGGACACGTGTCAATACATAAAGTTATGGATGGCTCCATAATGGAACCATCTGATGGCTCCATAGCATTTCTGAATTGCGGTTTTGCTATGGAGCCATCGGATGGCTCGGCTTATGGAGCCATCCATAGTTATCAACAAATGGTGTATTGACACGTGTTCTGCAATAAATGCACATTGGACACGTGTCAATACATAAAGTTATGGATGGCTCCATAAGGGAACCATCTGATGGCTCCATAGCATTTCTGATAGTAATTGATGCCTATCGATCATACATGGTTGCTCGTATTTTGAGACATGCTAATGGACTTGTTGGTTCATGTTGACAATGTTTGGATAATTGAATTGTTGGTGCACACAATGGGTGTTGAATGTGGTGATTGATCAGTTATGTGTATTGTTTGGTGGACTGTGGTGCAGTTGAATGTACATCAATGTTAAGTGGTGAGTTTATTGTGCACATCAACTATGTTTTGGCAATTGGAAGTACTATTGTGTCGTCAAGGAACCTTATGAACATTACTTTTTGGTTGGTACTATTTGCACCTCACACAAGAATTATTAGTTTATAAAATGACTACTTTTACATTTCTATAGGTACTTATCTGCTAGATACTTGTTGTGTGGCCGATCACTACTTCTGTTGTTTAGAATTAGTACGTGTACCTTAGTTTGTACTACACTTTCATACAGATGTTGAAAACAAATTCCAAATAAAAGTTATGTTAAGTACTTCAGTATCGGTTTTCCATAATGACAGTACCAATCTTGTATTGTCACAGGCTCGTTTTCTAGTATTTGATACATATTTTGTTGAACAATAAAAAATGACATGGTAGATATAAGGAAGTTATGTTTAGTAATCCAGTATCGGTTTTTCTTACTGGCAGTATCGATCTTGTGTAGTCATAGAACAAAGGTTCTGATGATTTCTACACTAAGGGATCACAAGTTGGTTCACATATGGCACCAAGACACTGCATCACTATGTAGAAAAGGGCTCTAGTCAAAGAAACCTTTCTTGCAAGGAACAAACCATAGGTCACAGCTGGGTTGATGTGCCCTCCTGTTAAGAACATGAGCACAATATTCATAGTTAATTACAATTTTTCATCTACATTAAAGAACCATAAGGAAAAACTAAAAGTTTTCACATGATCAGAATCATTAAAATAACAAAATACCCATCAGTTTATTGTTTATTTTTTTAATCAATTGATTAATATTTTCAGCAGCAAAGCCAAATCTAGAACCTCTGTCTCTTTGTAAGTATGCCTCTTAGGATGTGCACAAGAACAAGTTCTTGATGAGATGCATGACATTTAATTAGGAAGGTTCTTGAGCAGGATTAAACCTTTAAAGTCCACAACACACTGGAGCAAGACCAATGGAGAGACCACAGGCCCAGAACATAATATAGCCCATAAATTCAAAACACAACCATCACATGTTCCACAAAATCAAATTTTCGCTGAACTAACAGAAGAAAGTTTGAATCTTTAATTAGCACAATACAGAAACCAGGCATGAGAGGTCAAGAGGAGAAAAATACAACTAAAACTCTTAAAAGGGATAATCAAAAAGATAAAACACTGACCTGAGATACCAGCAGTGCAGTAAACAAGTGCAAAGATCATACCACCAAAGGCCCAAGCAATCCCCTGAATCCCCAAAGAGGCACACTTCGACCAATTTTCACATTAGATTTTAAAAAAATAAAAAAATATCAACAAAATTCCATAAAGCGTATGTCCTCCACGATGGAATCCAAACCACTTTCTGCCCCAACGCAATCCAATACCCTAAAGATCTCGTCCGAACTCGAATGACTCTTGTCCTCCACAATAAACTTATGAAGCCGACCCCCCTCCTCAATAAAGCTGTGCCCGGCCGCCTTTCTCACGTTAAACCCTTTCATCATCTTCCTCAGACTCGCGACCTTATCCCACATGCCCGCTTTCGCGTAAATATTCGAAAGTATTACGTAATTACCCGGATTCCACGGTTCCAGGACAAAGAGCGACTCGGCAGCCTTCTCGGCTATCTCGACATTTCCGTGAAAACTGCAGGCCCCGAGCAATGTACCCCACACAACTGAGTCGGGCTTCATGGGCATAGCTTTTATGAGGTCGTGGGCTTCCTGCAGTAGCCCGGCACGGCCCAAGAGGTCCACCATGCACCCATAGTGTTCCAGCTTTGGAGTGATGGAGTATTTTCCCGCCATGGAGTTGAAGAGTTCTCGGCCCCTGCTGACAAGGCCCCCGTGCGTGCATGCCAGGATTGCCCCCACAAAGGTGACATCATCGGGCGAAATTCCATTTCTCATCGTCAGGTCAAAAAGCTCGAGGGCTCCACAGCACCTCCCGTGGACCGCCAAACACATGATCATAGTATTCAAGGAGCACAGATTCCTACTGCCCCCAATCTCCTCAAACACTCGCTCAGCCTCCTCGATTGCCCCACACCTCGCGTACAACTCAAGCACAGCATTGCTCACAAACGTGTTCCCAAAGTACCCATTCTCCCGAGCATAGGCTTCTATCCTCCGCCCGACCCCCAACGCACCAAGGTTGGCGCACGCAGGCAAAACGCTTGCCACGGTCACCTGATTAGGTCTGACCTCTCCCTCTCTCTCCATTTCCAGATACGTCTCGAGAGCTTCCCGGTACCTTCCGTTCTGGGAGTACCCGGATATCAAAGCCGTCCATGAAATCACATTCCTACGTGGCATCTCGGAGAAAAGGCGCCGGGCCTCCTCCAGAAGCCCGTTTCTGGCGTAGCCCGTGATCAGGGAATTCCAGGTGGGTGTATCCGCACCCTCAATCTCTTCAAACACTTTTTTCGCGAAATCGAGAGAGCCCATCTTGGCGTACATGTCAACCAATGCGGTGGAGGCATAGGAGTCATGGCCCAGCCCGAACTTGACAAAATGGGCCTGGAGCATCTGGCCATGGCGAACGGTGTTGAGACCCACGCAGGCGGCAAAGAGGAAGGTGAAGGAGTGGGGATTCGGGGAGAGGCGCCGAGCGAGGATCTGGGAATAGAGGGACAGGCATCGGGAGTGGGGCCCACGGGAAGAGTATGCCTGGATGAGCTTGTTGTAGAGGAAGATGGTTGGTTGGGGCGTATTGTCGAGCACCTTGTGGGCGTAGCTCAGGTTTGGGATCTTGAGGAGATTTGTGATGAGGTATTGGGTAGAATCTGTAGCATTTCTCAGCGAGTGGGCGTGGATCTGTTGCAGTTGGTTCATGCGAGGGATTAGATTGTCCGGCAGCTCAATAACAGCTGAATCTTTACCAAGTTGGAATTGTGTAGGAGGTGGATCTATGTTCTGTTCTGTTGGCGGAATGGACCGGTAATGAGGTGTTAACTATTTTGTTTAGCTTAAAAATTAGAAAATGCAAAAGGTCTTTTTCCTTTTATTCGTCTTTAGAGTCTATCATGAGGTGGAGCTATAATTATTGGGTTAGTGGGGATTATTTTTTAACTGTGCAACACGCAAAATTTCGTGTTATTAAATTAATAAACATGATAACTTCGTTTAAAGACGGATCAAATAAAATATATTGTAATACCAATTTCTATTATTCTTCTGATTAATTTTTTCAAGAACAATCTTCAACTCGTCTTGAGACTTTTGAAGATGAATTTTCAGTTTGATCTCTGTTGGTCTTAAATTTGAATTTTAATAACGTTTCTTCGAGGACTTGACAATTTGAATTTCCTAAGAACGTGAAGAATATGAGTCCTTGGTTGTCGTCGCAAACTGATCTTCGATCTTCTCTACGTCGGTCTTGACTTTATTCGGAGGCTTGACAGCTTGTTTTCGGTTCTCTAAAGCTCTTGAACTTAAATATGACTTGTATACTTGAATATGAATTGTGATTTTTGACTTTAGGGAGAGCCCCTATTTATAGATGTTAGGAGAGATAGTCTGAAAAAGAAGACTTCAATTTGATTTGTCCATAATTTGCAATATTTATTTCTTTAAAGAGATAATTAGGAGATAGAGTCTTGAAAAAAAAGACTTCAATTTGATTGGTCCATGAATATTTATCTCTTTAATAATTATTAAAAGAAATAATTATTTATTTTACTCCCCAATAAAATGACATGTGGTATTCTTTAATTGGCCAACCATATATATTAAATAATCAATTATTTAACTATTTAATTTAGGAATTAAAATTTGAATAATTTTCCAAATAAAATAAAAAATTAATAAATTGATTTTGACGTAGATTCGACACTTGTTGCCATTTAATTGACTCAAAATTTAATTTTCTATAAATGCCCCTTCAAACTTATTCAGGGGCAGCATGTCTTGAAGTGAATAAGTCACGACTTTATTTGATTTGGGCTTATAGCACATCATATAATTTTATCGACCTATGAGAACCAAATAAAGCTCAATAGATTACCCCACAAAGTCACCTTAGATGGACTGATGTACATCTAAAACGGCCTATCATTGAATTGAGATAATTACCTAAGGCACGACACAATCTTCTTTTAATTGAATATTTACGAGACATAATTTTGAACTGCAAGCTTACGAAAATTGATTAAATTTTAATATAGGTAAGTTGATTTTTTTATGGATAGTGGATAGATGTTTTGGAGTTTAATCCTTATCAGAAGTCAAATAATGATTCGTATTTATCACAATCTTTCTCTTTCTCTTTCCCTCTCTCTTCTTCTNTCTCTCTTCTTCTACAAGTTTATATGATGAGATTTTTTTTTCTCTTCGCGGTTTTTCTGTTCGCGGCTCCTCGACAACCTGCTACCGGAGAGAAATCGAGCGTGCGCAATCCGCAGCTTCGCCAAGTCTTCATCACCGGCGGCTTCTCAAGCACGATGATGGTGGACGAGCGACGATTTCTGGCGATGGGGTAGATTCCCAATGGAGGACTCCATCTCTTTCTCCCGTCACACAATTCTCGACCGACCGAGACGACGCCACCCAGATACGCCCATCGCCGTCGAGGAGGGGAAGAACCGACACCGTTGTGCGTCAGCCTCAGGCCGTCGTTCGGCCACGACCATATATAGTCTGTATATCTTCCGTATATAGTCCGTATATCTTTCGTATATAGTTCGTATATCCTCTGATATATAGTCTGTATATCTTCTCGTATATAGTCTGTACATCTCCCCGTATATATTCTGTATTGCGAGGCTATTGTAATGCGAGATGGTTCATTTCATAAGTTTTAAACTAAGACTGAGATGTACAGATACATGACTTATAGTCTATATATATATATATATGTACACATAATTGGGTGTAAATATGTAATATAAAATATATATGAAAGTATGAGGTGTAAATTCCTCTAAGTTCAATCCAAAAGAAATGTGGATGTGGGCTTCACGTGATTCCTACGTAGGCTGATATTGGACTATTAAAGATGACAAATTCAATTGGCCAAATTTTAAGATAACCACAAGATATTAAAATTATTACATTCTTACAAGGTGGGTATTTTTATTTGCATCTATACCTAAACAATGGATTTATTTGGGTTGAGTAAAAAAAGATCAGTTACCAAAATTAAAATGTTCCCTATAATCACGCCAATTACAAAAATCTTTCCTCATAATTACAAAAGATATAATATACATCATATACACGATTACAAACATATCCGAAAAAAATCAAGTATTATCTTCGTTTTGAAACTGGTTTATGTATATACGTAGTATATTTTCTGGGTTTTCCGATATGATGTTTATATATATATTGAGGTTTATATAAGTATACCGAACATATACAGAACATATACCGAACATATGTATACTGAACATATATCATTTTCTAGGTTTGTGTATGGACACTGAACATATACAGAACATATACTGAAAATAACTCCAGATCCAGACATCGAGTTTTTTTATAAATCTCATGAATTTCACTCCAAATACCATAAATTTCATTCCAATTGCATCAAACATCCCCAAATTATCCGATGCGGTACAGGTGGACCCAATCGCGGCTTCTCGCGGCGGATTTTTGATGCTTTTGACGAGCAATTACGGATTTCTTAGATCGGCAAGGTACGTAAGTGAGGCGCTGATGTCTGCTTTTATCTGAGACTAAACCCTAATTTTATGGTCTTGAAGTGAGCTTTTATCGTCTTCCACCGATCAGAAAAAGAAAAGAACAGAGAGACGGAGAGAATGGAGAAGAAGAGATAAGGGAAGAGATAAAGTCTACCTTTAATTACGCTAATCAGTTAATTGTATACTTTAATTAATTATTTTTTATATATCTAGTAATTTTGTAATTAATATTATACATGTGGTAATTTTACAATAAAAAGTGATTGGTGTTGTACAGGGTGCAATTTCCTCAAAATAATGGGGCTAGGCTTATGGTGAAATGGACTAGTTAAGTTCAATCCAAAAGAATTGTGGATGTGGGCTTCACGTGATTCCTATGTGGGCTGATATTGGACTATTAAAGATGAAAAATTCAATGTTGGGCCGTTTGATATGTATAACAGTCTATCTAAGGTGACTTTGTGAGCTAATCTATTGAGCGTTATTGGGTTCTCATAAGTAGATAAAATCAAATTATGTGCTATAAGCCCAAATTAAATAAAGTCGTGACTTATTTATTTTAAGACATGCTGTCCGTGAATAAGTCTCGAGGAGGCATTTGTAGACAATTAAAGTTTGAACGAATTAATTGGCAACAAGTGTCAAATTCTATATCAAAATCAATTTAATAATTTTTGTTTTATTTGGGAAATTAATCAAATTTTAATTCCTAAATTAAATAGTTAATTAATTGATTATTTAATATATATGGTTGACCAATTAAATGTCACATGTATATTTTGAAGGCCAATTAAAGAATGTCACATTTCATTTTCTTGTGGAGTAAAATAAGTAATTATTTCTTTTAATAATTATTAAAGAGATAAATATTCATGGACCAATCAAATTGAAGTCTTCTTTTTCAAGACTCCATCTCCTAATTAGCTCTTTAAATAAATATTAAAGAAATAAATATTAGAAATTATGGACCAATCAAATTGAAGTCTTCTTTTCCAAAACTCTCTCTCCTAACACATATAAATAGAGGCTCTCCCTAAGGTCAAAAATCACAATTCATATTCAAGTACACGAGTCATATTCGTTCTTGAAGATTTGAAAAAAGATTAAAGCACGTTCAAGCTCAAGACAAGCTCAAGACCGAAGACCGACGTTCAATCCGGAAATAAGTTGCCAAGCCTCCGAATTACGTTATTAAAGTCAAAATCGACGTAGAGAAGATTGAAGATCAGCTTTGCGGCAAAGACCAAGGACTTGTGTTCTTCATGTTCTTGGGAAATTCAAAATGTTAAGCCCTCGAAGAAACATTATAAAATTCAAATTCAAGACCGGCGGATATCAAACTGAAGATTCGACTCTAAAAGTCTTAAGTCCAGTTGAAGATTGTTCTTGAACAAATTAATCAGAAGAATAATAGAGATTTGTGATCCACTATATTTCATTTAATCCGTTTGAATATATTAATTTGTACGAAGTTCTCGTGTTTATTGATTTAAGAATACAAAATTTTGCCTTACACAGGTAAAGACCGGTGGAGATCAAACTGAAGATTCGACTCTAAAAGTCTTAAGTCCAGTTGAAGATTGTTCTTGAACAGATTAATCTAAAGAATAATAGAGATTTGTGATCCACTATATTTTATTTGATCCATTTGAATACATTAATTTGTACGAAGTTCTCGTGTTTATTAATTTAAGAATACAAAATTTTGCCTTACACTATTCCAACTTGATAAAGATTCAGCTGTTATTGAGCTCTAATGAAGAGCACTATCATAGCGTGATCGAGTATCTCATTAATAGTTCCCATCAGTTGATTCTCGGGCCATACTTTAGATACGGCGGTAGAAAATCGAGCTTTGTTGGGTGGACGAATGATGGATTGGTAGTGTCCCGTCCGGCTCAAAGTCGGAATCCGCAAAAGCTGCTGAAGAAGGTTCTTTTTGAGGTGGCGAAAATGCATGAAAATTACCGGCTCGAATCTAATAAGGTAAATAAAGTATCGATACTTGACAATACAATTCAATACTTGAGAGAGCTCGAGAGGAGAGTCGAGGAGCTCGAATCTTACCAAGCATCAACGGAGTTAGCAAACTACGTATGATCACGAAGAATGTCAAGTCTTCAAACATCGATGGAATTCTATGTTTTACTATCAAAACCAAGGTTAGATATCCACATACAAAAATGTGATTTTCTGTTTGTTTAGAAAAATGAAGATCTGAATTGTTGCAATTTAAAGTGTGCAGTGTATGTGGTTTTCAATCTATGATTCTTATGCACCANAAAAAAAAAAAAAAGAAAATGTACTAATGGGCTGTTGCTAAATTTGCAGTGCAAGCGATTGAGAGCTACACCAGCAGGTCTGATCAGACAAGCTCTTCAGAAAATTATCAAAAGATGTTGATTGTTGAAGATGATGACAGAATTCGGGGATGTGTAACATAATGTGAAAAAATAAAAATGTATTCAGTAAATTTAACTTAATTTTGGTACATCCCACCCCCGTTTTTCAATTCTCTTTTTGCATATCGTAATTTTATTTTATCATTCTTTTCTCATAAATAATTCAGCTTCTCAAGCTAGTTTTTGTACCCCACTTTTCAATCCTCTTTTTGCATATATTAAGTTTGTTTTTTTATCATTCTTTTCTCATAAATAATTCATTCGGCTTCTCAAGCTATCAAAAATATAATTTCTTGGACGTACATAATTTCATACAGTTTTAGAACAAAATATGATTGTGAAAAAAATGTAATTCTTACAACAAATATGTAGCTTAAATGATATCACTTATATCATCTAGAAAGTTGTCAGAACTTGGTACATCCGTTTTATCTCAATTCAAAAATTCCTTTACATTCCACGAAAGAAGAAACTTTTATTATTATTATTATTATTACATTCCACAAACGTCGGACCACTGAACCAATTGGTGAACTGAATAATTAACCTTAACATTTTTAAAATCATATATATAGTATTGTATCATATCAATATACATAAAAATCACAAAAATAATTATTTTTTATATAAATATTACATATTATAGTAAATTTCAGTCATAATAAATATATACCATATATATTTATATGCATAGTTTTTATTTTTAAATAAAAAATATTTTTGAGAAGAAAAATAAAATTATAGTGATCTTAACAAACATGATTGACCCGGTCGATGCTCGAATTGACCTGATCAAGGCCTTGTTGATCGAGTTTGATCATTTTTGTTGTCAATCGGTCCAAAGTACCCACTTGGACCGGTTCAAGGTCACGAGTCAACCCGTTGAGCCGGTTCGATTGAAAACTATGATTTCAGGTATATTAATATCAATTTCATATGTTCCCACTTCACTATCAACAAATGTCACACATTTGACTAGTTGCATTAGTTTACTTCCACAGTAATAATTTTCAGTTATCAATCATATCTAACCTTACGTTGTGCATCTTTTGGTGGGCTCACACAATTAGACTCTTTTCAAATAATTGCTCATATACTAATCTTACTTTTTATTTGTAACTATACCAAAATAGTTACGTTTATACCAAAGTAATAATTGCATATATTTGACTAGTTGCATTAGTTTACTTCCAAAGTAATAATTTTCAAAGTAATTACATTTATACCAAAATAATTGCACATATTTGACTAGTTGCATTAGTTTACTTCCAAAGTAATAATTTTAAGTTACCTATCATATCCAACCTTACTTTGTGCATCTTTTGGTGGGCTCACACAATTAAACTCTTTTACACATATATCGTGACTGTTTTCAAATAATTGCACATATACTATTCTTAATTTTTATTTGTAATTATACCAAAATAATTACGTTTATACCAACACCCTAATCCCTATAGCACATCCAAACCCAAATACTGACAAAAAACAATGATGTAGTCAGCCTCTGACATCACCACTCCTCTACCCAAAGCAGCAGAATTCCACCACCCCATCTCCACCGCCAATCAGATCCAAACCCTAGTTGCGACCACCGTTCCCCTTGTTCCTCCTCTGCCGCCGCCGCCCATCGAGCATCCGCTTCTCTCCCGTCCGTCCATCGCCACCACCCTCGTTGTCTTGATGCCATTCTTTTCCCCGAGCACGGCCTGCCCCTCTATTCTTCCTCTTACGCTGATGTCATGTGCAACCCGTTCCATGATAGGTCCTCGAAGTCCAACGGCAACAGGGCCGTCTCCGACGAGGTAACGGTCTCGCCTACGGCATCCCAGCCGTCCAACTCAGAGCAATTGAGGATCCGTTTGTACAAATCGAGCAGGAGGTTGCAGAGGTCCTCCACTCATCAGTCGACCGGGTCGCCTGTTGTTTCTCAACGCGGTCCCCAGATGGGAGCTTCTTCCGATTGTAGGTGTATGATATTGAAAAGTTTCATTCTTTTTCTAGGGCGATGTTTATTTTATTTTTATTAATGAGGAAATTGCAAAGCTTTTATGGGATCAATGCATCAAGTGAAGTCTTGAAGGGAGTGGTGCTGGAGTATAGTGATAATACACGATTATTGGTCAATTTTGATCTTTCAAGTAATCAACTAGTTGGAGAAATCCCTGTCGAGCTGACAAACCTCACTCACTGGCTTGATGGGTCTCAATTTGTCTCATAATCATCTAAGAGGAAAAATCCCATTAAAGATTGGAGATATGGTATATTTTGAATCACTTGATCTTTCCAACAACTATTTGTTGGGAGCAATTTCAGAGAGCTTATCAAAGTTAACCTTTTTGAGTCACTTGAGCTTGTCCAACAACAATTTGTCTGGGCGTATCCCTACAAGACCTCAACTCCAAACACTCAACAAAAGTTCAGATTACGAGGGAAACACTAGACTCTGTGGGGCTCCATTGGCCCAACAATGTGAAGTTAACAGAACACTGCCCGAAGGTAAAAATGGTGGAAAACATGTTGATGATGGAAATGTGGCCGATAAGTTATACCTCTATGAATTTGTAGTTGGACCATTCAGTTCAGATAATTAGTGTTTTTAATTAGTGTGTTTTTAATTCGCTGGACGCTTGTTCAAATAGATAAACCTCGGAGGACCTTATATACTTTGTGTTTGTGATGAGGAGAATATAATTTTGGTAGGTATTCATATATACATGCTGAGAATAAAGTAGTCTATATCAAAGTGAACGAGTCTATACCCCGCTGCCTTTGAATAGGTTAAATCCTATTAAAGTAGGAATATGGAATAAATTGGATTGACGTGTAATTGCCTTTAATATCAAATTTATGTATCTCTTATGTCTTTTATGACATTAGAAAACAATGAGTAATGCTATTTAGCCTACTTGGATGACAACTTGGGTTACAACCCAAGTGTAAATGTATTATCAAAAAATTAAAAAATATTATATTTACACTTGAGTTGTAACCTACATTGTCATTCAAGTTGGCTTTCAAGTTGGCTCTATAGCATTGCTCAACTATATTATGATGACAATAATAGTGATCATTATTTTGAGCACATTGAAGATATCATTAAATAACAAAATCAAAGACGATATAAATTTCTTTAGCATTTATATTTTCACTAAAAAAATATTAACTTTATTTTGGGTTTTCAACCCCATGTTTTTTTATTTAATTTTATTTATCATAGAGTTCAGCTAATAGTATTAAATATTATATTTCACTATTCATCAAAATACACCATTTTTTGTAACTGAAAGAAAACTATATTATACTATTAAATATAAACTTAATACTAAAAATAATTTGAAAAATAAAAATAAAATATCACGTGCATAGCACGTGCATCTTCTTAGTATCCAATAAATATATATGTATAAAATGGAGAAAATGGTGTTCTCTTCAATGCTCTTCCCCGTCATCATTTTCTTCTTCTTCTTAATAATGTTTGAGCCCACCATATTCGGCCTGTCAACAAATAATAATTTTACTTTTATTGATTGCATTCCAAGGGAGAGGAAAGCTCTTCTGAGGTTTAAAACAAGCCTGTTGGATGAGTCTAACAGGCTTTCCTTGTGGAATTACACTGGATACAAATGTTTTGCTTGGCAAGGCGTAAAGTGTGATAAAGCGACTGGGCACGTTATCGAGCTTGATCTCAGAAACCGAGTTCTTAATGATTATGGGGACCCAAGCTTTGATAGCATGTGACAAAGTGAATCACTTGATTCTTCCCTGCTCGAAATGAAGCATCTCAAGTACCTCGACTTGAGGGGGAATAATTTCAAGGGCAGCTCAATTCCATCATTCCTAGGATCATTAAAGCAGCTGCAATATCTCAATCTCTCAAATGCAGGCCTTGGAGGTAGACTTGTCAAAACGGGCCTGGGCCCGCGGGCTGGCCCGCCCCGCCCCGCCAAATAGGCGGGTTGGGTTGAAATTTTATAGGCCCGCCAAATGGCGGGCCTAAACGGGCTGGCCCGCGCGGGCCGCGGGCTTTGGCGGGGCGGGCCT